AGAAATTTCCCTTTCATTGATTGTAAGAAAAATAAAGATCCATGTAATGTTTGTTATCTTGCGAAACAAAGATAATTACCTTTTTCTCATAGTGTTACAAAAGTTGATGAAATCTTTGACTTGCTTCATGTTAACATATGGGGACCCACTACCCTAGCTTCTATTTTTGGACACAGATTTTTCTTAACTATTGTTGATGATAAATCTAGACACACCTGGGTATATTTCATGAAACACAAATATGAAGTTGCTGATCACTTATCCTCTTTCATTACACTTGTAGAAAATCAATTTGGTAAGAAAGTTAAATGTGTGAGATCAAACAATGGGCCTGAATTTTTGTTAAAAACTTTTTATCATGAGAAAGGGATTTTGCACCAGACCTCTTGTGTAGAAACCCCTCAACAAAATGGCATTTTTGAGAGGAAACATTAGCATATCATTACAGTTGCTCGAGCCTAGTCATGCCGTCCAACCTTGCAAAATCTTTTTGGATTTATGCTGTTAGTCATGCTGTTTTTCTCATCAATAGACAACCGTCTTCATTCCTAGAAAATAAAATTCCCTATGAGATTATATATAATGTATTACCTGATCTTGCTAGAATTAAGGTTTTTGGTTGTCTTGCAAATGCTACCACTCTTCATCACAATAGAAAGAAGTTTGATCCAAGGGGAAGAAGATGTGTTTTTCTAGGGTTTAAGCCTCAGGTTAAAGGATCTATTCTTTATGATTTGAACAGCAAAGAAACCTTTTTAAGTAGACATGTTGAGTACTTTGAGCACATTTTTCCCTTCCTTCCCATGTCACCTTTAGACCTTACATAGACCATGCCTTTACCTAGACACCAACCACCCTTACCTATTAATACAGATCTAACACCCTTATCCACAAATGCAACACCTATGTCATCTCCTGTATCAATTGTTCCTCCACCACCTTTTGTTCGAAAATCCACCAGACCTAGAAAACTTCCCTCTTATCTTCATGACTATCATCACACCTTACTTACCACTCACAATTCACCTACTATTTCTCAACCCCTATATTCCATTCATAATCACATTTCTTATTCTAATCTTTCACCTTCTGACAAAGCCTTCTCCTTATCCATTTCATCCATCAAAGAGCCTAATTCATATGTTGAAGCCATCCAAGATGAATCTTGGAAGACAGCCATCCAGGCTGAACTGACTACTCTTGAAAAGAACAATACTTGGATTTTTTTGGGATACAAACAAGTCTCACATTGATAAAATATGATAAAAAAATAACAACTTATATAGCATAAACATACTTCAATGTTTGAGAGACCTTTTGGGTGATGACCAAACGCAAAACCGTGAGAGCTTAAGCCCAAAGCGAACAATATCTCATCATTGTAGAGTATGCTTGTGTGATAACCTTATAAAGATAACCCTCATAAAATATCCCCTAAGACAAATACCATAAAATAATCTCATTAGTGATATCAGAGCCGCGGGTTGGATTCGGTGACAACCAATAATCCTTACAAAAAAAATGATAATGATAATGTGATATATAAAGACAGATTCCGCTGCATGAAAGGTTAGGTTCCTTGTTTGAGGAGAGGATTGTTGTGATACAAACAGGTCCCACATCGATAAACTGATAAAAAATAACAACTTATATAGCATAAACATACTTCAATATTTGAGAGGCCTTTTGGGTGATAATCAAAAGCAAAATCGTGAGGGTTTAGGCCCAAAGAGGATAATATCTCATCATTGTGAAGTATGCTTGTGTAATAACCTTATAAAGATAACCCTCATAAAATATCCCCTCAGACAAATACCATAAAATAATTCCATCAGATTCTTACTCCCTTGCCACCAAATAAACAAGTTGTGGGTTGTAAATGGGTTTTTAAACTCAAATTTAATTATGATGGAACTATTGAAAGGCACAAGGCCAGGCTTGTTGCCAAGGGCTACACTTAGACAGAAGGGTTGGACTATTTGGATACCTTCAGTCTAGTTGTGAAGATGACCATTGTGAGGACTTTATTGGCCGTAGCTACAACTAAAAACTGGTATATTCATCAGTTAGATGTAAATACAACATTCCTTCATGGAGATTTACATGAAGAGGTCTATATGACTCCTCCCCAAGCCTAACTGTTTCTTCTCATCAATCCAATTGTGTTTGTAAATTGGTCAAATCCTTATATGATCTCAAGCAAGCGAGCAGACATTGGAATGCCAAACTTACATCTGTTTTGATTGATTCTAGTTTTAAGCAATCCATGGCAGATTACTCTCTCTTTACTAAGCAATTTGGTGCTAAATGTATTGCTATCTTAGTATATGTTGATGATCTTGTTTTAGCAGAAAATGATCCTACAGAAATCAATTACATAAAATCTTTGCTGGACCATAAATTTACTATCAAAGATCTGGGTCAATTAAAGTATTTTTTGGGAATGGAAGTTGCTAGATCTTCCACTAGTATTGCCCTTTATCAATGCAAGTATGCCTTGGATCTTATTAAGGACACAGGTCTCCTTGCCTCCAAACCCTATAGGTCACCTATGGACCATTCTATTAAACTACACAAAATTGTTGGCACTTCACTCACTGATCCAACTCGATATAGGAGATTACTTGGGCTTCTAATATATTTCCTAACAACAGAGCTGACATTAGTTTCTCAGTCAATAATCTTAGTCAGTTCATAGATCAACCCACTGATGTGCACTATTAGGCTGCTTTAAGAGTTTTGAAATATGTTAAAAATGCTCTTGGAAAGGGACTTTTCTTCCCTTCTTCTTCTGATCTCACACTCAAGGGATATAGTGATTTTGATTGGGCTTCTTGTTCTGATACTCGTCGTTCTGTAACAGGATTCTCTTTCTTTCTGGGACCTGCACTCATCTCCTGGAAGAGTAAAAAGCAAGCCATCGTTTCCAAATCTTCTGCTGAAATAGAATATCGTGCCTTGGCCCAAAGCACTTGTGAGGCTCAATGACTTTCTTAGCTCCTTCATGACTTTGGTCTTCATAGTTTTCATCCTATTGTTTTGTTTTGTGACAATCAATCAGCCCTCCATATTGCTTCTAATCCGGTTTTTTATGAGATAACCAAACACATTGAGCTTGATTGCCACATTGTTCAGGAAAAATTGCAAGCTGGTTTAATACATTTACTACCAATTTCTACTACAGATCAGCTAGCTGATGTTTTTACTAAAGTTCTTAGTCCAGGACCTTTTGAGTAGATTATTTCCAAGCTTGGAATGTTTGACATCCATTCCAGCTTAAGAGGGGTGTTAGCTAATATTTTTTATCATTATTTTTTTTTTCTGTTATTATAATCAGATAATTTATCTCTTATGATTTTTTTTTATCTTTCCGTTGTTTTCCATAGTATAAATACACTTCTTGTATTCATTCCAAAACAACAACAAGAATTCTTCTCAATTCTTCGAATTCATTCGTTTTCTTTTTCATACTTTCTTTGATTCTTTACACTATGACCAGTGGAGTTCCTAGATTATTTGATGCCCCAAAATAGTATGGTAATAAAGGTGTGATGGATTGCATTGTAATGCCCGCGGAAGTATGTGTCTTCCCCGAGGTGTCAATCTTCAGTGTTTCGTTTTCTAACTCTGATGCCATAATGAATTATGGTCAATGACTTGCCTCTCATTCATTCACTTGGCAACAAATATATAATAGTTTCAGTTATAAGATTCTCGTAACAGAATAAATTAAGCAACAAACTATGTAACAGAAGGAGGGATAAACTTTCCTTATCCTCGTAAAACTACTTCAACAAATATAATATATTTACAACCAATTTATCTACAAGTTAGAGGTTACAAGGCTATAACTAACTATTTTTATTTCATACTAATTAATATAAGAAAATATGATATTTTTTATATCAATAATATTATAATGATAATAACAAAATTATAACTTATATAATCTATAATATATACTCAGGGAGAGAAAGATGTAATATATTTCAAATTATTAATGGAAAAATATGCATATTAATTAATATAAGAAAAAAATAGTATTTTTCATATCAATAAGAATTATAATAATAACAGCAAAATTATAACTTAAAACTCTATCTATATTACTTATCCCTCTACCATTAATATAAGTAGTATTTTCTTATTTTAATGTAAATAGTATTTTTTTATTTAAGAAAATGATAGTATAGCATAACATCTTTCAAAAGTTAATAATGTAAAAAATATTTTACTACAAATGAACAATATTTTGATAACTATAATCACTTTTAGGAGAGTATTCTATCTTAATATCCTTTTTCCAATCAAAAAGTCAAATAATTCGGTACCACTCGACAGCCGACACCATAATGTTTCATGAGTGTAATTTACTTAAAATAAAATAAAATAAAACCAACCCATTAAACCTTTTAACTCACGTGACACTTTAAAGTTTAAAGTGTCGGCATATGTTTTGTATCGTGTTTGACGCTATGGATATTCCTCCACATATATTTACAATTTTAAACGAAGATAGATTGAATAACATTCGTACACTCTTT